TGACAACGACGATTTATTTTTCGAGATTAACTTGTTAAAAAGAGAACAGAATCAAATTACTTTAAAATTCAGATTAAATGTTTATAACTATAAATTTATTATTTAAATTTATAAACGTATATGTTTTACATAGCCTAACTAATCCTTTTAATTTAAAAATGTAAAGTTATATAACAATAATTTATATGTAAGATGTGGGATCAATAGGCTACTATATAAAGAAATGTTTGGAAATGTTTTATTTATAAAACAATAGATGCAACACGAGTCAGAGAAATGCTTTCACATCCAGTTTCCCTCCCTCATATCATTACTTTTAGTTTAATTCACAAAAGTATTGGAGAGACAGATCATCTCTGGACTGCAGATCACAGTTTGAATACGTCCAGTTAGACTAGACCGCGAGCGGCTTTGTTTTAATTTCTTTTATGAATTGCACAGATTTTATTTCTTATCAGACTTTTCAATTAAACACGCAAATATCTGCAGCTTTTAACACCAAATGGTATACAAAAATGATTCCATATTGAAAGCTTGGTAAAAGTTTTTGTATTTACATTTGCTTTGTACAAGTTATGTGCTTTATCTTTATCTTCATTTTTTAGTAACTCCAGCTTAAAAACAAATCTTTAAACTTGGAATTTTTTCCTACTGATTCGAGTCGAATAAATGAAAGACTTCTGAACACGATAAGCGACAATCAATCCTAAAAAACAGTAAAATCTTATAATTTACTTGTGGTTGTAGCACCCTTAAATCTTTTCTAGAAAATTTATTCTTTTAAGAGATTCTGTAGGGAAAAAAGTGTATATTTTTAATATTTTTTTAAAAACAATTTTTTATTTATTAACTTGTTGAATAAGACTTGAAAACTATTTGCGAAATTTAGGATATTTTTCATTGAATACATTTAGATTCTTGAATACTGTTTTTTCCATTTAATTTACAATTTTTGAATCTTTTCATTTATTGCTCTCATATTTTAAGTATGCCTTCCCAATATTTTTAGAGTTCTTTTCTTTATATCATCGATGTTTGATGGTATTACTACTGATTTTGTTTTTTTAATTCTGCTAATTTCTTAAAATCATAATTATTGTAATTGTCTAATTTATATTCCAGTTTGTGTATTTTATTATTAGCGGACTCTACTTAAGAAATTATGATTTGTCCACAATTCTTAAATAATCCTAAAAATTACACAGCTATAAATCATTTTTGAAATATTTAAATTTTTTTCTAAAACATTCAGAGAATAAATAATGTTTAAATTATTATTATTCAGGGCTTAAGCTGTTGGTAGTTTTTTGCTAAAATGCTACAAGAATTTAAATTTAGCAATAACTTTCTTGGCACATTTCACTAAAAAAACTAATGTTTTCCAAGTGGTTACAGCATTTGAAAAACATGTCATCCCATCACTAGTTAAAACTATCACTATCACTAAAAATATCACTAGTTAAAACATGAAAGCTAACATTTTTAAGATGTTTTAAAGATGTTTTAACCAGTGATGGGATGAATTTCTCCTGATTCTTTTGAATATTTTCTAAAGTTTATTTAGTTTAGAAAAATTAAGGATTTACATTATGAGCACAGTATATTCATTAGTTAATAAACATCAAACTTAAGAATGGAAAGAGATTGGGAAATCCAGAATCAATCTTTTGAAAGAAACAAAAAAAATTCTCCATTTATATGTAGATATGCATGCTTTTATTGTGTAGTAGAAGATAAATTTGTAATCTTATTACAGATAAAGTTAATATTGCAACACTACCCTCAAACAAATTATAGCTAATTCCCTTTTACTCAAAAAAAAACCATCCCATTGTGTAATCTAAGGTTGCCTTCTTTAAAAACTCTTTTGTTGTCTGATGCAATGCAATGACCAGAAGGGAAAGGTAATGAGAAGACGCACTTTTTAAACTTCACACAATAGGCATGCCTTGTAAATTCTGTAATTCCATCATATTTAACACTAAATGAGGTTCAGCAAATGTAGCAACGAGCAGAATGAATATCATCATAGTCATTAGTTAACCAAGTTTTGAATTCATTCATTCGAGCCAGGTTTTCTTAAATGTACAATTGTGTGTACTTATTCGAGGAAAAGAAAACTCAAACGAAAACCTAGACTAATTCATCTTGAAAACTCAATTTTTAAAACTCAAAACAGAAGTAAATTTAGCATGAAAAATTTTTATTTAGAATCACATGAAATGCATTACAGTATCATTTGTGAATCATTTGAGGTGTTGTTCAAGCATTTTATCATTATAAGTAAACATACTAAATACTAAAAATAATTTTATCTAATATTTTTTAAATTAAAATATAATTTTGTTTATATTTTAAACTTTGCTGACACTTTTATATTTTTTCTGACACTTAAATATTTTTGTTGACTGCCAGCTTTGTTGTGATAAGAAGTTCTTCAAACCTTACTCAAAAGAGTGAGAAAAATAAAAGTAAAACCTTTAATTTTCTCAATAACTAAAAATTCTCCCATCAAGTAAAATGGAATATTTTTTATGAGATTGAAGCTAATGGGCTCATTAGATCAGTACTTAATAGAACATCATGTGGTCACTATTTTTTTATTATAGAAAAATTAAAAAAAAAATTTATTATAGAAGTGACATAATGTGGCTATCTTTTTTTAAAAGTTTAAAATATGCAATTTGCCAAAATATTTAAAAATGCAACTTAAGAAAAATTCTGTTGTCAAGCATGAACTAAATGAGGTCACTGATGGCATTGCAACATAAGGGCAATCACCAAATGGTAATCAAAAAAACATTTCTTCTATAGTTTTTATTTTCACAAAATAAGTAGTCTATACTTTCCGTCAGAACATGAAATGAATATAATGAAAATTTCATCTAGATTGGATAAAAATTGCAGGAGTTATAAGAACTCACAAACAAACAAACAAAGACACACAATGGCATTTATAAATCCTCAATAATGCTTTCTCCCTTTATTAAATAATGGTTCATAACAAGGATTATTCATCAAACATTATTGAAATATCTGAGGATCACGTCAAATTCTCCTTGTGAGTCAAACTTCCTGACACTGTGAGCCATTGCACCACTGATCTTTGTGAAACGAAGTTTGTCATACCATTTCTCATTAGTTCACTTTTCATTTGTTCACCTGATATCTATCATAATCATTGATAAATCTTTGCATAATAAAGTTCTATTCTAATTTTAAACTAATTTTAAACATCTCCATATGAACTTCAAAAGTTAAACCAACCAACTACTTTTCTGAGTTAATTAGTTTAATTTTAAAATTTTTAATTTAATAAATCCACTATACTATTATTAATATTAATAATTTATAAAAAATTTAAAAATATGTAATAGCTGAAAAGCTTATACAATTATCCATATAATATTAATACTATGTTCATGTTGTTATATGAGAATGATGTGTATTGAAATTATTTGTATATAGTTCCCAGCTCAAAAAATATCATTTATCTAATATAATATAATAATTATGTTTTAAGAAACAATTATTATATTATAATATTCTTTAGATTTAAAAAACATTGTCATTGCTTCAAATTCTCTTAAAGAGTATTTTTTTATTTTATTTTCAATAAAATTTGGATATTGAAATACATATACAAATTACCTATAAAAAGCATTGTGAAAATTAAAAGGGTGTTAATTTTCACAATGTTTTTTATATGTAATTAAATTAACAGGGTTTTATTTTTCAAATCCAAGAGTTATCACTCTTAACTTCATGCCACAATGGCATGTCTCAATATATCATCATCATCATCATATGAATAAATAGGAAATTTTCTTTGTTTTCATCAAATTTAAATTTTGTTTTCTTTTTAAAAATATTAATTGTATTTAACTAATCAAATAAATAAAGTGTATTTTCTAAAAAAATGTTTGTTTATTTTGATTTTGATTTTATACTTGTTTATAGTCTCAGAACTACAATAAGTAGGTACAGTAAATAAGCAATAATACATATAGAAGAATTTTCTGTGAAATTAAAGTTCTCATACATACTTAATTTTAATTAATCAAACATATCTACATGTGTAAAAACAGATAAACTAACTAGTTTTTCAAATGCATGTGTTAAAAGAATTGACAAACCTACATTATTATATAATGAACTTTCAACTTTAATGCACACCCCCCTCAGCCAGTCTGTTAAATTGAAGTTTAATTGTATTATGGTTATATTTTTAACTTAACATGCTGTTTTTTTTCAATCTCTAAATTACTGTATTTTTCAAAAATTTTAAAAATACTATCTGCCATTTTAATTAAAACACTGTATTATTGGTGAGATGTGATCATAACCTATCTTTTTCATCTATATTATATATATATATATATATAAAATAGAAGTTTATTAATTGAAATCTACAGAACAAGTAGTGCCATTTCACCAGATAATTTTGTGAAAATAAAAAAACAAGTTATATGCTATCCGAATGTTGCAGACGTTGCTGTACATTTTGTACTAGTGATGCATGCTATTGTATGCTTCCAATTTGTTCACATATTCCTTAATCAGTCTGATGATGATACAATGCATGACTATACTTTGTTCAGACTGATTGAAAACCCTGTAAAAACATCAAAGAACACACTATTACCTGGGGTCTTTACACACCATTCATCAAACAAATTCCAATTTGTGGAATACAAGCATGCCAAATTATCAACAGACAATTCTGAATTAACAGGTACTAAATTAACAAACTTCTACTGTAAGTTAATATAAACATACCAGTAAGAGATGCCTGATACAGGCCAATTTTTGTAAGTGGAGAGTCTTTTAAATAATCCTGAGGTCCACCTTTGCGGGGAGGCACTATGTTTGGCATGTTTAGATCCTTCTTTACATAATTTCCTAATTATAAGGGAAAAAAAAAATCAAATTTAATAATTTTTTTATTATAAAATACATTGTAACATAATAAATTTTAAATAAAAAAAAAACTTTATTAGAAAATTATGATAATTGTGTTATTAATTAATGGCAGCTATAATTTCTGCAACATTTAACAACTGCAAATGTGTCCAAATAAAGAATGTATTTTGCCATACAATAATTTTGATCATTATTCATAACAAAAATGATCTATTTATAGTTAATAATTAATGATCAATATATGAAATCTGTAAACATTAAGTATTTCTGAATTTACAGTAGAGTGTCGTTTATCCAAATCAATTGGGGACTGGGGTTGTTCGGATAACCGATTATGTACGAAAAAATATACTAATCTATCCCATGTTGAAATTTTTCTCCATTGCGTGTCACTTTGTGTTGAATTTTCATCAATGTTAAGCCTAATGTAAATTTTAAAAAATAATTGTGGCTATTGTATCATTAAAAATTATTTATTTTGCACAAACAAAATAAATATATTAAAAAACATATATATATATTTTCGAAGTTAATCTAGTATCAAAAACGTTCGATTCAGCAAAACACAGTCAAATGGAATGCTTTCAGTTAACTGACATTTCAGTTGATCGGCTTTCAGATACATGACACTCTACTGTATTTGAAATCTACATTAAAAAGACTTTATTTATAAATTTTACAACATTCTGATTTATAATAAAATATGAAATATTGCAATATGATAATAATGACAGAAAGTAAACTTTTGTAATAATTACATCCATTGCTCTGATGCAGATATTTGAAAATACTAGATATTACAAATATATGGAGAATAGGTTATAGGAGTTTGTGATGAAGTACAATTAGAAAAAATATTTAGTAATAAGCTGTCACATTTAAATTTTTTGAAGCTTACCTTGCCTCAAATAGAATTTGTAACAATGTTAAATTTTAGTGTTATTATCAATACTTCTTGAAACAATTTATACTATTATGAACACATTTGGATTACAGATGTTTGTGAGAGAAAAATACATATGGTTTAAAACTAAACAATTGTCAGATTATATTGGTCTACATTAATGCTACTATTAATAATTAAATGTTAAGTAATTTGGTCTAGATATAGGTATTAGGTGCCATCTTTTGATAAATTTAATAATTATGTAAGGAACCAAGTCTGAGCTTTATTTTTTTTTTGCTTTCATTATATTTTGTTTGGGGCTTATGTTTAGTTAAGACGAAGTTTCCTCACCATTCACCTTAGTAACTTAAAAATAGAAGAAAAACCAACTCACCGACGAAAGAAAAGCGCCGTAGAAAAACTCGCGCACACTTGCGCTTCCCAAGCGGAAAAAAGTAAGTCCGCACCGAGAAAAAGGGGGGG